TGTGATAACAAATCTGCCCTAGCCTTAGCAGCAAATCCTATCCATCATGAAAGAACCAAGCATGTGGAAATAGATTGTCACTTCATAAGAGAATGGATCCAAGTTGGTGTCATTCACACTCTTTATGTTCCAAGTCGTTTTCAATTGGCAGACATTCTTACCAAACCATTGGGCAGAGATACGTTTCATTTTCTATTATCCAAGATGAGTGTACAGAATTTGTACTCTCCTCTTGAGGGGGGGGGGGGGGTATTGGAGCTCAAAGATAAAAATCAACAAAGAGGATACATGCACACGTTAACATGCAGAAGAAACAAATAGAAGTAGCTAGAAACTTCCATATTATTAGTTAGTTACAAAGTTAGTTCTGTTTCTTATATTATATAAACTGATATGTAGCTCCTATTCATGTACGAACTCTGTATCACCCTTTCTCTTCAATAATGAAGCTTAGTTCTCTCCTTCTTTCGTTCATGCAATTTTCTTCTCACGCAAACATGGATGATCTAATCTGAAATTCAACATAAACATGATTAGTAATGCTTAACGCTTAGGAAGGTTGTCCGCTCCATGCAATAATTTCGTGTTGAACGGCAAACTCCCAATTATTAGTCACCCTTGACCGCCACCTGAATCCTGGTCTTACACAAAAGCAGCAAGCTCTCAAATCAATATTATTTCCCCTTCTCTAATGGCAGGCAAAACCGGTTCCTCTCAGATGGCCTTGCAAGTATACATTTCCAAACCTTGTGTTGTCTTTGCCTGAACCTTCCCTTTTCGCAAAACTACTGGTCTAAATCATTGTCTTGAGACCTGAACCCCTGGCTTGAGGTGAAGCCTAAATTATCTTGTTGATCGGTATGTACAGGGTAATACACTTCTCTATCTAAAAAAGTTAAATTCCTATTGACAGGCGCCCTAGGGCCCGAGAAAACAAAGTTAACTCGTGAAAAAGATCCTTCGGCGGACTCCTCCAGCGGACTCGCCAGTAGAGCCACTGGAAATTTCAAAGACTCTCTCCAGAGTCCAGACTCTCTCTCTAGATTGTAATAGAACTTTATTTTTGAGAAGAAATCAGTGGCCGTGTGCAAACGAGCCGAGCTCAAACATGGGTATGCTTGAGTTGGAGTTTGATAAAAATTCACGAGCTTGGATTATGAGCTAAATAATTTGAGCTCGAACTCGAGCCGAACTCTGCTCAAGCTCAACTCGAGCTTGGTTCGAGCTCGGGTTGAATTGTGCTAATTAATTTTTATAGATTTGAGCCCGAATAAGATGATCAAATTCGAGCTAAAAAATTCTATTGTCTGAATTGTTAGTATTACAAATTTACATACAAAAACATAAATAATTAATATTTGTACTTAATCATTCTCGTTGTTTAGTTCCTCACTCCTTCCGTGATACTTTTTTTCCCTACTTACTATCAATAAGTATTACAGATTATAATTATTACATGTTATGATGATGATGATGATGACGACGATGATGATGATAGTAATAATAATAACAATAATATTATAATAATAATAATATATTATTATTATTATTATTATTATTATTATTATTAGTACTATTATAATATACTCAACAATAAGTATTGAAAATTGAATAATCCTACATTAGAGTACATATTCCAAATATATTATATATATAATTATTACATACTAGTATATAATATGTATACACACACAAAGGCTCGCAAGTCACGAGCCTAAAACAAATAGTTCAAAATATTTTCTTGAACCATTTTAGGAATGCAAGAAGAAATTCGTCTGCACCCCTTGAGGCTTCAGATATAATGTAATCATGAAATTACTCAAAATAATGAACAGTTTCTAGTGTTTGTCCAATGAAGACAAACAAAGCAACCCTCTCGGGTTAGGAAGAAACATTTCCGCACTCTCTTCAGACTTCAGACAACGTGAACTACACAAATATCTCCGAAAATGAACCGGACACTAGTACGAAAATGACATATTGCAACACTTTACTTTGTAACACTTTTTTTGTTGCATAAAATATTTGAAAGTAAAAAAATGCAACACATTTTTTTAAAATGTTACTCCCTCCGTCCTAAAATCGTTGGCCAATGTTGACTTGCACGTGGATTAATAAAGTAAAAACTGTGTGGTTAAAATTTGTGCAGAGGAGAGAGAATTAACTTTAGCCACATATTCCTTACTTTAAATGGAAATGGCCAACCTTTTTGGGACGGCCAAAAAAGGAAATTTGGCCAACCATTTTGGGACGGAGGGAGTATATAAACAAGTGAAACATACAAATATGCAACACATACAAAGAAGTATTATGTAACACTTATTTTTAAAATGTTAGTGATAGATTATTTAATCTAGAGAGAAGGGAGAGCTAGAGAGAGAAAGTGATATGCATGAATTAATTTCCAACTTCCAACTTTCTTTACATGGCTCCCATAGGGAGTATTAATAGAAGAAAATTGGGTTGGGCTCTTAGACTTGGGCCTGAAAGGCCCAGTTACAATAAAAGGCCCAGTTACAAGAAAAGTGGGCTGGGCTCCTGGGGGACTCCTGATTTGGGCGGATTAGCCGAGGGGCCCCATCCATTTAACAGAAGGTTGGCGGAGGTCCTACCTACTGTAAAGCATATAACGATTTTGATTGAGGCTCTCTTGGCCGATACCTTACTTCCCCACCTGCTTCATGTAGTTTTTCTTTCGTTTTAGATTTTGTTGCCGAAGTGTACATGACATACGAGAAGTGGTAGCATGTTGCCTCCACTAGGGCCGAAGTGACACCACGTTGATTATTCACATGATGTGTTATTGATTGGGAGGATCTCAACTTGATATGTTCTAGCTCTCAATGAAAGCGTCAAATGATAGATTATTTAATCTAGAGAGAAAGGAGAGCTAGAGAGATAAAGTGATATGCATGAATTAATTTCCAACTTCCAACTTTCTTTACATAGGCAGTTTTTATAGAAGAAAAGTGGGCTGGGCTCCCAGGCTTGGGCTTGGAAGGCCCAGTTACAACTTACAATAAAAGGCCAATAAATGGTATTTAATTTATTCTAATGGATATACATGAATAAAGTAAAGTGTACAATGAGATAAATGTTATCTACTGAACGTATGTGGGCCGCTGTCCGGGCCCAATAGTCGTGAGACCCGGGGGTCCGAGTCTATACACTCTATCAGGCCCACGGGCCGGATATTTTACTCATATGTATATATGTATACATTTTGTTTTGAAAAGGGGTAGCTAAGAGTTATGCCCATAATTATACTATCACCCTATTTTGAGGGTCTCACGTGAGAAACGTTAGTTACATTACATACAGTTTGCCCTCGCCAGTACTTTTCTGTAATACCGATCCCTCGGGCGAACCACCATTTTAGGTTGAAGCTAGAGCTTACTTCCTACACCCGTTGTTCGGGAGATCGATGGAGAGAAGACATTGTTCGTGCTTCCTCTGGTTCTATTTCCAAATAATTAAATAATGCTCATGGAACTATTTTGACTTATAAATTAATGGAGCCTACGAGCTCTTGTTTTACCTTTGTATGGGTTCTTATTAAACACTTATATTCCGCTATGTGTTTAATTGTATGTTGATGTTGTTATGTATGTTTACTAATCGGTGTTGGCATATGTATCTATTGAACGTCTTGTGCAATTTAGTAAGGATGAACTGCGGTTATTCTTATTGGGTTGTACGGCGGTTGTCCACGTGGCACAGACGCGGTCTGGGGCGTGACATGGCCATCCTCCAAAAATCTACCCATTTTATCAATTTTCATATTTCATACTACCTCCGTTCCAAATTGATTTGCAAAGTCAACTTTTTTGGTGAAACATTTTCTTTTTATTCACTTAATTAGGATATGACTCTTTAATTATATTCTGATTTGGCCATTCAAAAAGGTACTTCGTATATTCTAATTTGGATTTTGCAACTTTAAAATGGTATTAATTATCATTTGGGAGGACTTAACATTAACAATGACAAAAAAATGTCGACTTTGCAAATCAATTTAGGACGGATGAGGTAAATAACAAATTTCAGATAAACTATAGTAGTACAAATTTAAATAATTAAATCATACTTCGGTCGGGTTTGATCCGGTACTGGTTCTCATTTTATGAGAACCCGTCATGGCATTATTTGGAACCGGTACGGTACGGTACGGTTCAGAACAAAAAAATTGAGATCTGTTTAAAACCCCGTTTATCGGTCCAATACCATACTGGTCCGGTTTGGTACCATGTCGGTTCGGTATTTTTGCGCACCCCTAAGGTTTCTTGTAGAAAAGTGATTCTATTTTATTTTTGGTTTGCATTCAGATAGTTTGTATTATTAAAATTATTTCCAAAATATATACAGAGTATTATTCTTGGTTCATGAAAAATATGTGATATTAATTTAAATTATTTTCCTTTTTAAATTTGGGTTCATTCAATCATTTGCTATGTTGGCTTCTTCGTTGCCCTTTACTTTGTTATTAATTATTATGAGTGCGTGACTCTTGACTTTGAACTAAAGTCACCAATTGAAATGTCGTCTATACGGCAATTTATTCTAGCATTATTTTGTAAAATACTTTTAATTTGACTTTAATTTCATAAATACCTTTTAATTTAGCATTATTTATCCGACGAGTAGCTCAGTTAATTGAATAGTGTGAAAATTGGAACATTGACTAGCATTATAGTCCATAGTGGTTGCGCAGAAGTTACTGTGTTCTAGGTTGGACATCTAGAGCGCACGAATTCAACTATTGTCCTGATCTAGTCCTGAGGGATCCTTGAGATTGATGATTCAACTTTTTGGAACATTAATTTAGCATTTTCTCACAAAAACTTCTTTTTGACCCTTTAATTTCTAACCAATGAGAAAGTAAAAATGGAACAAATTTCAAATGGGAAATAGAAAAGGGAAATGACATAATATCGAGGCATACAATGCTCTTAAAACCACAGTTGCAACTTGAAAAATAGTGTCGCATAAAAGGCCACGGTGTTGAATTTCTTTCGGTATACGGAGTATGTGGTTGCAAGTCAACACATAATCCTTGCCTAGCTAACTCCTGTCCCCATCCAACTATATTCCACCATTATCGATATCCTTCAATTAATTGGCAACCCAAAGCTGACGCTACAAAGCTCCCTTGAAGCAAAAGTCCGCCTTCTTCCTCCATCCCTATCCCCTTTCCGATCAATCTCCGGCAAGGGTAGTTTACGCATATATGGGATTAGTGGAGGAAGCCCACAACGTGCGGGTCTTGGGCTCGGGGACTCGGACTGTGGTGCTTGCTCACGGGTTCGGGACGGACCAATCCGTGTGGAAGCACCTCATTCCGCACCTGGTCGAGCAGTACCAGGTGGTGGTTTTCGACAACATGGGTGCCGGCACGACCAACCCGGACTACTTTGACTTTGACCGCTACACCACGCTGGAAGGCTACGCGTATGATGTGATCTCGATCATGGAAGAGCTTCAACTGCAGTCGTGCATTTACGTCGGCCACTCCGTCTCCGCCATGATCGGCGCCATCGCCTCCATCGCCCGGCCGGAACTTTTCACCAAAATTGTAGCCATTTCTGCCTCTCCCAGGTATGCATCGCATCGTACATTTATGTACACCCTAGCCTTATTCTCTCCGTCTCGTTTCAAGATTCTGTATATAGTGTTACGAACTCTAGTTACAAATAAAATTTAGATATTCGGAAACTTCGCTAAAAGTTCTATTGAACCACATAAACGGATTTCGAAAATAATTTAAACATATCAAATGAATCAAGAGATTAAAAGAGAGTTAAATTGGCTTGGTGAATACTGAGCGATGAGAAATAAGAACTTTAAATTGGGATAAAAGAATCTAAAAGACGGTTAGCTAGCTAGTCTCTAATGGTGTACTTGTTCTTTTCTTCACCTTGAAGAAAAAAGTCTAGTCCTTAATAGGCTAGTTAAAATGTGTATCAAATTTACAGTTCATGTTTTAAAAGGCAAGTTAGAAAAATGATACTCCGTACATGGAAGAAAAAAGCTAGCTATTCTTACTCGTTTATATCAAAATTAGATGAGTACCGGCAGGGGCGGAGCTGGGGGTGCCCAGGCTAGGCCCTGACCCACCCTAAATTTGAAAAATGTCAATATTTTCAGTATAAAAAATTTCGTGTAATTTTTTTTCAATAATATTCTTTGTACCGGCCCAGTCTAGCCCAGTGTCCTGGCTATGCCCCTGAGTACCGGTGTGATCTTAGAATTTAGATAATACTCATCTTAGAATTAGATGAGTAAACATGAATAAATTGGGAAGCCGGACCAACAAAAGGCGCTCTAACATTAAATATATTTGAAAATTTGGGGGGCATACATAAAATTTCATTAGTTTTTTAATAAAAAAGAAATGAAACATAGAGCAATATATTTGCTCAATTTTCGTTTGATGCAAAATACTCCGCATTTTTTATCTGACACACAATAATATGCATTTATTAACACCTTGTAATTTATTATACCAATGATAAAATATACTCCGTATGTTTGGTTCTTATACACACCCAATATGAATTCTATCCTACATGACTGCACGTTCAGACCATATCATCAAATACACTAACCCAGTTTTAAACAAATAATTTAATACAGGGTGTGCGGAGATTGCATTACATGTGTAGTGTGAAACTGTGTTGCTTTTGTATACAAAGTCTTACTGTATTTTTTTGTTAAAGTTATACTCTTTCAGTGACACCATACAATTACACTTTGTCACTTTTACTGTTCATGTTATCAAAGTATCCCCGAAAGAAGTTCTCACTTTCCTTATTTGGATGTCCCTAATTTAAGTAATCATTTCCTTAAATAGAAAGTTATCTATATCAAAACAGTGCAAAACAGTGTCAAACAGTGTCGAAACATTGTCAAAACAGTAAAATTTACCCCTGATAAGTTTACTTGCATAAAAATGTGTGAAAGTTAAATGAGGAACTTCTTTCGGGGACGGAGGAAGTATTTTTTTTGCATTTTAACTTCGGGTATCAATTTTTTACTACGTATCATATTCAAATTCAGGTGAGAAGTTAAATAGGAGTAGAATTTTTCATCTACTTTCTAAATAAGGAGTATGTAAGTTGTGAACATTAACACCAATTTAGGTGTTATCGGTCACGCCATTTGCCTTCCTATTTTGCAAGCAATCCGCTAACAAAGCATAAAATTTTTTGAAAAAGTTTTAAAAGTTGTCGTGTAGAAAAAGGGCCCGTTTGGATGCTGGCAGTTTTCCCCGATCCACCTAAAATTTACAAATGGAAACGCTGCATATTGCAGCGGTTTGGAATCCACCCGCCATTAAACAAACATGGCCAAAGAGGTACACGACTCATACATGCGAAGGCGCATACACGAACAAAGATTCAATTTACTTTGAATGGGTTTCTCGTTACAATAAATTCACTGACAGTTAACTTACTCCACCTTATCCTTGAATCCTCATTTTTAATCTTTAAATTTGTGTATACTATTCCGTTAAGGTTAGCTTTGTCAAATTTAAAGTAGGTGACTCGTTATCTCACTCGAGAATTATTTGAGATCATACTACTAGTGTCATTTAGGCCCCATTTGATAACATCCAAATCGGCTATATCGGCTGATAGTCGATTCTGTTGAAATTTATGAAGTTCTGGCTGAAGTGTCTGTATTGGCTGATTTGTGAAAAAGAATATCTGAAATATATTTTATTAATAAAAGAAAGAAAAAATTACTCCCTCCGTCCTGGAAACAAGTTCCCGGATTGACTTTCACACATTTTAAGGAAATAAAGTTACTGAGGGATAAATTTTTTTACTGTTTTGACACTGTTTCAACACTGTTTGACACTGTTTTGATGTAGATAATTTGCCAAAATACGGAAATGAGAAGTTTATTGTGGGATATCCAAATAAGGAAAGTGAGAACTTGTTTCTGGGACAGATGTAGTATATAAAAATAGCTAAAATGATCCTCTACAGTAAGTTCAGCCAATACAGTCAGAAAAGTAACTTCGATCTTATTTTTTCTTATTATTACACAAATCAGCGCACAAAATTAAAATTATGTGTTTGATGAAAAAGTTGATTGATAAATCTGAAAAAACCAAAAATCGATTAACAAACGAGTTCTTAATCCTTCACCATTCTTGTCGGGTGATTCCACTTTTTTGGGGTGAGAGTTAAAATAACCTACTAGGTCGAATTTAGACCGACCAGAACGTAACGAATCATTGAAACCGGATTTGTAATTGAAGATTAAATGAACATATATATACTCCTAATGTCGCAGGGTAATCATCATCAATCAAATAGAAAAATGCCACCTAATTGATTAAGTCCATCCCCGATGGCAATAATGAAGTTTATGCCAAAAAAATGACAAACTTTTCAATCGCTAGTTGGCACACACACCAACAATTTTGAAAAATTGCATGCAATGATTAGGCGGTGCCAGGCGGACAGTGAAATTTCGCTTCGGTAAATGATCTATAAGCTCAATCATTTGTCCCACCATGATTGTCTCGTTTTATCTTATTTGTAAAGTTGGTGTGATTCTAAATTATTCCTACTTTATTCTTATTTTATTTATTCAATACCAGCCACATAAACTCATTTTTATTAATAACTGTGTCACCTTCTCTTGTCCCAAACTTAGGGGGACGGAGGTAGTATGATCCAAATACTCCCTAGTCCCTCGAACCCCCAAAAATTTGGCTAGACTTCCATATTTAGAAGTCGGAGTGTTTGGATGAAAGTGTAGAAATGATTCTAATGCTCTACTTTACTTCTAGAATCAGTTTTTTTAAGAGCTGGAGGTGACCAGCTTTTGAAAACAGATTCCGATTCTGCTTTGTTTCTTTAATAAAGCAGAAGCGAAATCAGTTCCAAACACCCCCTTAATCCTCCCCTTAAAAACTTTACTATTCCATTCTTTTGTACACGAAATACAAACATAAACGTTTTTACACTGTCTGTGAAGACTATTTTTTGTGTGTGAAAACACTGCATAAACAAATGAAGGGGCAAATCTGGATTTTTTTTGGAACGCTTGGTCCTTAGTTTGTTTGTGCATAGTGTTTTCACAGACAAAATATAGCCTTCATAGACAGTGTAAAAACGTGTTGTAACTTTTTTATTTATAATTTGATTATTACAAAAAAAATATCAAAGTTATACCCTTTTATTATCTTTCATATGACACCAATATTTCATATATAAATAAAATTAAACCAACACTTTAAAAAGCATATGTTTTATTGTGATATAACTGTTAGGATTGGAAAATTCTTCTATTCAATATCAAGAACGGAATTACAATAGGAGGAGCAAACTCTCACACTCAACTATTACAAAAAATCAATCCTCACCAATACACTTCTACTCCAAGTGTATTTTCACTCTTCACACACTTTTCTCACTTTCGAAACTGATACAAATGAACAACAATACACTCTCTATTTATAGGTGTATATGGGAGACATGAGGAAGTTGCATCCAAGCTTCCATTCTCATTGCTAGGGAGTTTCCTAGCTATCTCCAAGAAATCTTCTCAATGTTCATGTGTTTGATACCTCCTTCCTAGAAGGTGTTATATGTCTCTTGGCAACTTCCAAGAAAGAAGGTGGAAGTTCCTTACAAATCTCCCCCTCCACCTTTTTCTTAATTTCTCTTATTCCTGTGATGCTCGCTGGCTCCCCCTCGCTGGCAACAAGTATCCATTCAGATGTGGAATACTTTCTCTGTGGAACTATGCCTCGCATAGAACGTCGAACATGAATACCTTCAGCTTCGTCTTCAGATGAAGGCTCCCCCTGCTGAGGAATATCATCACTGTGAGTATCATCATCACCTACTGAACCATCACTCTCTTGTTCAGTAGAATCATGCATCTCCTCGTCACTGAGAGGAATGCTTGATGATACAGTGACTTCGTCTTCTGGAGTATGTTGCTGGCGGATTATTGGAACACACCCATGAAACTCGTTAACATGAAATACAACATCTCTGCTTCGTACAACTTGCTTCACTTCGGGATCCCATAACCGGTATCTGAATTCTTCATCACCATACCCGATGAAGATGCATGGGTTTGACTTGAGATCCAGCTTCTGTCTCAACTCCTTGGACACATGTGCAAATGCCTTGCACCCGAACACTTTTAAGTGAGAGTAAGAAACATCTCTTCCTGACCATTTCTTCTCTGGTACTTCAAAGTTTAAAGGAACAGAAGGTGACTTGTTTATAAGATAATAAGCTGTCAGCACAGCTTCACCCCAAAATGGCTTAGGCAGTTTTGCCATGCTCAACATGCAACGAACTTTCTCCATAATGGTCCGATTCATTCTTTCGGCTACACCATTGTGTTGCGGAGTTCGTGGAACCGTCTTCTCATGTCTGATTCCGTATGCAGCGCAATATGCTGAGAACTCTTGGGAAGTGTACTCTCCTCCATTGTCTGAACGTAGACACTTCAACTTCTTCCCCGTTTCTCTTTCTACTATGGCATGGAATAATTTGAAGCGATCAAACACTTGATCCTTACTCTTTAAACAATAAGCCCATACCTTTCGTGACGCATCATCAATGAATGTGACAAAGTATGTGCTTCCTCCAAGTGACTCCTCTTCAATGGGTCCACATACATCAGAGTGTACAAGACTGAGTAACTCTGAATGGTTCTTCCTGGTAGAACTGAAGGAAACCCTGTGTTGTTTCCCGAATAGACAGTGCTCGCATGGATCTAGGGCAACACTTTGTCCATGGAAATGCTTTCCTTCTTTGCAAGAGTTGTCAATCCCTTCACGCTCAAGTGGCCTAGCCTCCGGTGCCACAAGTTTGGTGATATCTCTTCTTCAACAGCATTAAGACTTGGATGACACAACTTTGCATGAGTTTTATAAGAGTACCACAAATATGGCCTCTTGTAACAACCAAGGAACCTTTAGATAACTTCCATGTACCTTCTTTGAATCGGTTAAGATATCCTTGCTGATCCAGAGCTGTACCGGAGATAAGATTCAATCTAAGATCCGGAACATGTCGAACATCTTTCAACACAAGTGCGCATCCGACATTGGTTGTTATGTGCACATCACCAATGCCAACAATCTTCGAGAAACTGGTGTTTCCCATCTTCACAGCTCCAAAGTCCCCGGACTTATAAGATGTGAATAAATTCTTGTGTGGAGTGGCGTGAAATGATGCGGCTGTATCAATCACCCACTCAACATCATGAGTACCTACGTGTAAACATTCTTGTTCACCATGTGTAACAAGACACACGTCTGATGACAAACTAACCATGGTCTCACCGTCTTCTTGGCTAGTATTTTGACTCGTCTGTGGCTGCTCTCGTAGAAACTTTCTACAATCTCTTTTTCTATGCCCATAATTACCACAAGAGTTGCAATATCCTTCAAACCAAGTATTGTTTTCACAGGACATACCTCGTTCTTGTGATCGGCCGCGAACTTGAGAATTTCCTCTGTTTTGACCTTGGCCTCTACCTCGACCTCGACTTCTTCCTCCATTTCTGCCTCCCCCTCGTCTGCTAGTTTCTGACACGAAGGCATGTGATTGTTCAGTCCCGGCTTCTTTTCTTCGGGCTTCTTCGTTCATAAGGGCATCTGTGACCATCTGCATAGTCACTTTGCCATTGGGAGCAGAATTGCTGAGAGTGACAACAAGAGTCTCCCAGCTGTCAGGTAGAGAGCTCAAGAGTAGTATCGCCTGCTCTTCATCTTTGAGAACCCATCTGGTGGTGCTCAACTGATTCACAAGATCCTGGAATTGACTCGTGTGTTCTGACACCGAAATACCTCCTCGTAACTTGTGGTTTACTAATCTCCTCATTAGTAACGTCTTATTTCGGGCAGTTTTTGCTTGATACATGCTACCAAGCTTCTCCCATAGTGTGTAAGCACTTTGTTCTTGCGCAACATGGTGGAACACACTATGATCTATCCACTGTCGAATTTGTGCGACAGTTTTTCTATTCATTTTTGTCCATTCTTCATCCGTCTTTTTATCCGGTTTCACGCCATTATTATCAAGAGGATCGGCTAAATCCCTCAAATTTAGCAAATCCTCCATCTGAGGCTTCCACATAATGTAATTTGTGGAAGTGAGCGCAATCATGGTGTCCGATGATTTGATTTATCCATAATAAAACGCTCAAAATATCTCGTACCTTATTTTCGGAGCCGAATTTGGACAAACGGAGCTCACCGTTGGATCCGGAATGGCCGAAAATGGTAGGAACCGGTCTGACCTCGTCCAAAACCGGTCTGGAAATGGGTGAACCGGCCACCACAACTACGAACCGGTTCGGTCCGGATCAGGCAGCAGCCCAGTGTGCTGACACCCAGGCTGGTGATGTGGACACAGCAGGCGCTGACGTGGCGCTGACGTGGCACTGACGTGGAGCTGACGTGGTGGCTAACGTGGCGCCCAGCAGATGGCTAGTGTGGATGACGTGGCACTGACGTGGCGATGACGCGGCGATGACGTGGCTCGTCTTCTTCCTCTGGACTGTGTGATGACGCAGTGATGATGCAGGCAGTTTCAGGCGGTGTTTGGGCGGCGCGTACGGCCTCTTCTGGTGGCCAAAAAATTCCCCAAAAATACCAGATTTCTCGTCTCGACGAGACGAATCTAACGGTATGATCAGATCGTGATTCCGAGCAACTTGAAAAATTACGATTTTCTAACCTGTAGAAATTTATCTGAAAATGAAAAAACACTGTATGAAAACTCAACCTCGCTCTGATACCACTTGTTGGGATTGGAAAATTCTTCTATTCAATATCAAGAACGGAATTACAATAGGAGGAGCAAACTCTTACACTCAACTATTACAAAAAACCAATCCTCACCAATACACTTTTACTCCAAGTGTATTTTCACTCTTCACACACTTTTCTCACTTTCTAAACTGATACAAATGAACAACAATACACTCTCTATTTATAAGTGTATATGGGAGACATGAGGAAGTTGCATCCAAGCTTCCATTCTCATTGCTAGGGAGTTTCCTAGCTATCTCCAAGAAATCTTCTCCATGTTCATGTGTTTGATACCTCCTTTCTAGAAGGTGTTATATGTCTCTTGGCAACTTCCAAGAAAGAAGGTGGAAGTTCCTTACAATAACCTTTTTATTTGTATTACAATTTTTACAAAAATTATATCACAAATCACAGTGTTTCATTATCATTCATATGACACTAATATTGCATATACTTTCTATGTACCTTAAAATTTTGTCATCTTTTATTTTTGGATTATCCCAAAAACTTTGTCATTAATTTTCCCTTCTAATCAATTAATTTGTAGTTCCCTCTATTTTTCTTTTAAAATACTCAATTATTCATACTTTTTCTACCTTTTATCTTCTCTTTCATACTATTTCAATTCACTTTCTCTCCTACTTTTTTTACACTATTTCTCCTTTAAATATTGTGTCAAGACCCAATGTAGTGATTATTTAAATACCGAGTATAAAAGTAGATTTTACACAAATGTGGTAAACTATTAACATGACACATCTCTCTTAAAATAAGAATAAAATATAGACACTCATATTTTGACACTTTGGTTATGTTTTAACTCTAATACGGAGTATACAATTTCTAAATTCATAATCAAATACCAGAAATTTTTAAAATCAGACTAAATTGCGCTGCTGATATTTGTTTAATGATGAAATATTTGATTGAATTTGTGCATTCAAATTAGATATCTGAACGACGTGGACTACTATGGGGGGTTTGAGGTAGAAGATCTGGAGCAGCTATTCGATGCAATGCGATCAAACTACAAAGCATGGTGCTCAGGATTTGCACCATTGGCCGTCGGAGGGGACATGGATTCCGTCGCCGTTCAAGAATTCAGCCGGACGTTGTTCAACATGCGGCCGGACATAGCTCTCAGTGTGCTCCAAACCATATTTCAGAGCGACCTCCGGCATCTCTTGAGTCACGTCACCGTGCCCTGTCACATCATCCAGAGCATGAAGGACTCGGCGGTGCCCGTCGTCGTCTCGGAGTACCTTCATCAGAATCTCGGTGGCGACTCCGTCGTGGAGGTGATGTCCACCGATGGCCATCTTCCGCAGCTAAGCTCGCCGGACGTCGTGGTTCCCGTCGTCCTCAGACACATTCAATACGATATAGCAACTTAATGTACATGCAACTGGACTAGTTTATTTTATGTCATGGAAGTTACTACTTAAATTCTCCACTTGTTTTGAAAATTTGTGTTTTGAGTGGGAAAAATGCAGTTGTGTTGTTCGTGTTTGTTATTATGAGAGGAGAAATATTGTTAGTTGTACATATGTTTCCAAAGAATGAAGAGGTTGTGAGATAACCCCAAAAAAATCATAGAAAATTATCACTCAACCAGCACATCCAATGGATTTTAAGTGTTTGTTTGGTAAATTAGACATAGGAGATAGGAATTTTTTTGAGAGAAATAAAGTAGTCTAATAATATAATTCTCTTGTTTGTTTTAGACAAAAAGTAGTGTTAATTTTCCATTGCTTTTCAAAAGCACTTTTCTAATAACTCAATTTGTCGTGTAAAGTTTTTAACCATGCATGTAAAATGCGGTCGTATCCCTCTCTCTAGGGTTTGCTACTTCCGCCGCCTAGCTTCGGGGTAGGTTGGTGCGGCGATTCATCTCCTCCGGTCGCGAGGGTTGCTGCTCGTGTTGCTCTTTCTCTTCTTTTTGCAGGTTATCACCGCTTCCCACGAGGGTTGCGGCCACGAGGGTTTTGCGGCGCGGGGGTTGCAGGTTATCTCTCCTTCGGCCACGAGGGTTTTGTTTATTGGGGGCACCGCAAAGCAGTAAGGCAGGGTAGCAAGGAAATATGAATGCATCACATGGCTTGGCAGCGGAGAAGACGACCGCTAGCGGTGGTTTTGCTACGAGTGCAGGACGAGGAGAGTTGCACGGGTTTCGAGTAGGTCAAATTTCGATCGATAATGGAGAATCACTTAGAGTGGTAACAATGGTATGACCTCCTCCTAAACCACTGTCATGAATTGTACGAGGTGCTAGGAGCCTAGGATGTGTGAAAGTTATCATATTAGTAATTATTTTTATATTGTAATTTGAATTTTTGTTAACGTCTATGTTGTTAGGTTTGCCAGTTTGTTTAGAAATTTAGCCTTTTTATGTCATTGGGAGTGTTTGGATCTATGGGACCAGAGATAGTTGTGTCAAGCCCGCTTCATGGTTAGCAATTCGTGTTCCTCTTTCAGAGGTGACCGTCTCTAAGTGTGATAATGGGTTTATAGTCGTAGTTGTTGGAGGTTAGTTGGTGTCGGGTTTGATTTTCCTTTGATTGATGTAATGATCCTGAAACTTATGATATGAATAGAGGCGATTTTTCGTTAAAAAAACACTTTTCTGATTTTTAATTTTTTGAACGAAAGTTGCTTAAATTATGATAACAGAACGTAAGCAGGTTACAAAAAGATAAAAAAGTCTAATGTCTGTCGTCTGCCCTAGAACCAGACATAGAATCGATCACCTTCATAGAAGCAATGTGATTCGCTGATCTCGCTATGGGCTTAACTGGGGCAATGACAGGCAAACCAGGCTCCTCATCACTTGTCTTAAGTTTTAGAGTTCTTTTGCTGGAAAAACACAACACAACCAATGCAACATAATGACCCCAATAAAAATGAAACATGAAAGAAACACAAACTAAATAAAAATGTCTTCCAAGCATAAGAAAGATCTTACTCCTTACGAGCTTTGGTGGGCCTGGGACCCAAAACCCTCCCTTCCCCTTCTTTTGGCCCGTCTAGAGCTATTTCCTCCACCACAGAATCACCTTGCTCCTACTCTTCCCATGCCAGTAGTAGCCACCAACCATCATGTCTTTTGTCCACTTTGTCTTTCGGGCCCTGGTCCAGTTCTGTCCTAGAGATTTTTGTCCTGTTGTATACCCCTGTTGCTGAGCTCCCCTTTGTAACCAACCACTTACTAGCTAGAGAAGGACGAGACTTCCTGCCTCCCGCCCGCAGCCACGGTCCAAACGGTTTAGCCAAAGCCTGCTCTCCTTTTTCATACATTAATGGGCAAAATTTCTTTGCATGTCCTATGATCCCACAGGCAAAGCAGAAACTCGGAAGCTTCTCATATATAAAATCTACTCAATATCCCTCCCCTTTACTTTTTTTAATAGTAGTGCCAACTTTGAGGGGGTTTCCCACATCCAAACAAACACGAACCCTCATATAAGCCTCCCACTTTTCATTGAATTGGTTGTCAACCCAGCTAACAAATTTTCCTAAATAATTCCCAACTCTCCTGGCAGTTCCAATATTAGAGTATCCATATGGCACATTGTGCACTTGTACACATAAATCAGCTGAATCCAATGGGACCTTAAGCGGGATGTCTCCTGGTTTAATCGCCCTTAATACTAGTAAATTCTGATCAAACGGCCACGGACCATTGTCCAGAATACGGTTCAAGTCAACAGAATGAAAATATTTAATGAGGTACCTCTTTTCACCAATTTCCTTGATCGAGACCCCTTTCCCTAGGCGCCACAGAGCCGCCATGAGGTCCTTGAAAATTTGGAACCGTACCACCTTGTCCGTGACCGACCACTGAGAATTCTTCTATGCGATTATCCTCCGTCTCGGCAGCCCCTTCATCGTCATCGTCAATCATTAGCTCGCCCTGTGCTTCACCAATATCCAGAACATATACTGCTCAATCAGTTTATCCACCGGACCATGAGCTTTTGACCGCCACAAAACTCCTTCGCTAGACGCCTCTCCTGCTTCATCTCTTGACTGACGCAGAGCTTCCTCCATCGATGAGCAAAGCAGAGCTTCGATGCTAACCTAGCGCTTGCGATTATCCTCACGAACGTAACTCCCTTCCTTGCTAACCGATCTGCCGCACCCAGTGATGGAAAAAACAAACCCTAACCCAGGGAGATGCCTGCTGTGTCGATGAAGGTTTTAGAAAAATAGATGATTTTGATTTTTGGCTACCTGTCGCAGTGTCGATGGCAAAAATGAATGCTAACCATTCCTTGCCTGCTGTGTCGATGGCAAAAATGAACCCTAACCGATCGCGCCTACCATAATGTGATACTCAGTGGCATTTTAGAGAAGCCGCCCAAAAGAAATAACCAAAATAAGAACAATACGAATTGTGATGGGTTTAATACCCGGACTAAAAGTGTCAAAAAATCTACACCAGCCTGCTGATTAAACTTCTAAGAAATTACACGTGCTTTATGGCGGTCAATAGATCCATGAGAATGATATTTGGTTGGGATATTTTGACTTTGCACCCCGCTTTTTGGGCGATATTAGACTTTGCACCCATTCTCAAAACTTTTAGACTTTGCACTCTATTTGCCTTGGAATGTCTTTGCCTTTGCACCCCATTCAAGATTTTTTCTTCGCAAAATGTTGTAGATAGGGTGCAAAGTCTAAAAGTTTTGAAAATGGGGTGCAAAGTCTAATATCACCCAAAAAGTGGGGTGCAAACTCAAAATTTCCCGATTTAGTTTTATAAATCCACTTAGAACCAGCTACATTTTTAGAATTGTCAAACGGTACCAAATCACAAGTCTGACTAGTGATAAGAGCATTAAATTCATCAGCCATATGCGCGTGCCAAAATAAATGTTTATTTGCCTCAGAAAAACAGGCAGGATCTGCTGAAGTAACAACTATATTTAAGTTAAAAATAGTCTTGGACATAAAAATTCCAGATTGGGCCCGAGTTTGCATAGGACATTAAGAAAAAGGGGGCGGATCAGGCTGGAAGGACAAGGAGTCAGGCTGGGCGAATTGGTCAGTAGGACTAGGGAAAGCTAATGGTCAGGGCGGACTATAATCGGCAGGAATTTGGGCCGGACTGGAGGGGTATCAGGCTGAGTTGGTAGACTGGAACTGGGGGGTTGACAACGGGCTGGGCTTGGTTAGGAGGTTGTTGGGTTCGCTGGGTTGGGCGTTGTCGGGTTAGAAGTCGATCAGGTTGGAAGGATTGGGGGTTGTCTGGTTGCGGGTCGAGTTGGGTGGACTCGGTTGGGTATGCATTGGATATGCCTAGATTGGGTGGGTCCAATGTTCTAAAAGGCTCTAGGCGCTAGTCGGGCGCCAACCCAGCGCCTAGCGCCTAGGCGGGGACTAGTCGGAGACGTAAAAATTGTATTTTTATGAATATTTTTGCATAAATATGATAAGTAATACAAAGTAAAACTGTAGTATCGTGTTTGTGTGTATGAAAAATATATACACACATTAACATGCATGAATGATAGAATTGTAACATCAATAATATATGATTAATTGCATTATGTTATAAATATTAAATAATAATAATAATATTTAACTATATGTACAAACATATATAGTTTTTATCTTAATTTACAAGTATATTTTCTCATATTTGTGATTAAAGTTAAAGATACATTTATCTCTTACAAAAAAAAAATTAAAAATAAAAAATTATTCGGCAAATCAAGGCGCCTAGGCGGCGATTAGGCGCTCTGGACGGGCAACTAGGCACCCTAGGCGGCCGACTAATTCACCTAGGCGCCAAACCAATTAGTCGGAGCGCCTAGGCAAAAATCGAGGCGTCCGGCCACCGCCTAACGCCTAGGCGGGGACTAGTCGGGCGCCTAGAGCGATTTTAGAACAGTGGGTGGATCTATGTCAAACAAGTTGGTTGGTCCTATATCCGGACGAGAAGTAGTGATGAGACGAAGCAGCGATAAAGTGGGATAGACACGATCAGGATTAGGTGAGGGACCTAAAGATGCAAAAGGAAAAACATTTTTTAAACATTGTTTAGAAACTAGGGGGACCAGCTTCTAATTTTATTTCTATTTTTTAAAAAGAAGCATAAGTAAAAACAATTTCAAATACCTCTGTACTCCATAGTCTTATTTTTTGTATACAAATTTTGTTTGGATCATACTCCAGTGGTCTTCTTAAACTTTGTCAACTTTTTTTATGGTCTCATTAAATTTGTCACTTTCTCTAAAAAAAAATGAGGTATTAGTTAATTATCTCTCCTTTCCACAAAATTCAACCACACGTTTTTACTTTATTAATTATCTAGTCAAACTTGATCGAAATATTAAAGGACAAAAGAGTGTTTTTTTTTTATAAAAACCTCATAAATAAATATGGAGAAGTTACGGCGAAAGCATTACATATTCCGTCGGCGGTGCGGTCCCACGGACACGTTTTCCAGCTGGGTTATATGCATTCTTGGCCCTTCCAGCCTGTTTAATTACAAATTTCTCCCCACCGAAATCTGGATGGATCCTCCTCCGCTGTATTTTGATTTGTTGTTGTTTCTGTCTAAAATATTAAGGTGAGAAGTAGTGCTTGAAATTCCATATTATTTCGAAT